AAAAAAAGGCCTTATGGCTTCTATTCATTAATATTTAGGCAGAAAAATAGTGAAGTTAAATGAGTCCTGTAAGATTTTTACACATTTACAAAATTTGAATTAAACTTAAATGGAATTAGGTTTTTTGGAATCAAATTTTCAAATTTGAGCACATGGTCACCAATGCAAGATATTTATTGGTTTAAAGGACTTGAATAGAGCATCATAAGTTTAGGTYTTGCTGCAATTTGCATSAAATTTTAAAATTCTGTYTTAWAATATGATGCAAGCATCACCTGATTTTCTCAAAAGAAATCCTCATTATGACCCTGCTGCTTCCATTGTTAATGTTGTAGAGAGGAATCTGCAAATGGATAGAAATTACTTATTACCGCTGTAAACTGAAAGTGACTTCTGTTCACCCATGAAAGAACTGTCTCTTTCTAATGACTTCTTGGCTCATAACCCTGGGAAAGGAAAGGAAAAAGTTGGGAGTAAGTTTTTGTAGTGCTGTATTTTTAAAAAAAGTGGTCTACCAAATGGATTTCAGTCTTTATTCTTTCACTACATTTTCTTTCCCAGTAGGAATTGTAACAATACTGACTATAATCTTATTGTGTTGTTCCCGTTGAAAGTTCTAAACTTTGTGTGTGGCTGCAGATGTCTCATGTCTGGTTTTACAGTGGATTAGACCCAGCAGAATTGCTTCTGATGGACATGGTTAGAGATTGAAGTCACACTCTTACACTGTACTAAATTTTATTTTGGGCAATATTCTAGGTTATTTTTGGACTTCTGTACCCAAATCAGTAGGAGGTTCAAGTTCTTTCTCATCATTCTCGTTCCCACAAATGTTCGTGTTTCTTTTCCTTCTAGCTCATCAGCTGTTTTGGCAATCTCTTTGCTTTTGTTTACCACATCAAACAGGTTGTCCACAGTCATCTGCTCTGTGTCAACCGATAAGTCTTCCAAAAAAAGAATAATCCATGGTGCCGGTAAAACAACAAAAAAAAAAGACAATATTGGCCAAATTCTGTTCTCTCTCACAATGCTCTATATCCAGAAAAGCTGTCTGAAGTCAATGGAGTTGCTCTGATCTACGCCAGGCTAATTGAGAGCAGACTTTGGGTTTTGAGCTGGGAAAAGTTGACCGTAAATGCTAAGGGCAACCAAAAGGAAAACTTGCAGGCCTTTTTCATCCACTTGGCAGCCTTCTTCCAAACTAAATGTATTGCTTTTTTGCCTGTGGTTCAAAACAAATAAGGATCCAAATCTGCTTTGTGTTAAAATAGTTTTCATGGAGAGTGAAACCCAGCCTGATGTGCCTGTTACTAAATAAGTGACTAAAGAAGTTGATAACAGCTACTAAGAAAGGCTGAAGGTTGATTTAAGGTCTGTACCTACTGCAGCATCCTTTAAGATGCCTGTCCTGATGTCCTGACCACCAACAGGACTACTTTGCTAAAGCTTCTTTCTGTTGCCATGATGGCATAGAGCACCAATAAGCCTGGCAGGAAATTCGGTGCTGTTAACATGGTGTTTTAAATGCTGTGCTGGAGGTACCTCCTAAGGCTTTCTGCCCTGATCCACATTGAGTGCTCTCAGTCTGTGGTCTGGCATGCTGTTTCTTATGCAGCAGGCTTTAAAACACATTCTTCCATGGCTTGTGTTGTTTTTGTTGTTTTTTTTTTTCCTTTTTGAAGTAAAGCTAGCTTTTTCCAGCCACACAATGGATAGAGTCAGGGAAAAATGTAAGGCGTGGCATGAATTTGCACTATATTTATGTTGTTATTGTATGATTTCTGGCTAAATAAGCATTAAAAGAAAAATTTCTGTCTGTCTTTCAGTCTCATCCTGATGGGCTTTGAGAGAGTAAAAAGGAGGTCATTCAGCAATTCTCAGTGCTGTCTTGAGCACTGGACAGCTTCTCTGAGTTCTACACATATAAATCAGAAACAAGTGCTTCTCCCAGTTTTTCAAATTAATGTTTCACATTATGCTGTGCATTTCTTTTTTTCGATGCTGCACAGAGACCGTACTCATCTCTCTCCCTTGTCCCATCAGAGCTGTGCCAGCCAGAATTCGGGAAACATATCCAGGAGAGCTTCTGGGAAATTTACWCTGACACCTCTTACCAGCATTTGAGTGAAAGGCTCCATCACTTTGGAATTAACTACAGTCAAAGACTGAGGTTTATGGAGTTGTAATTAGCTAGGATTAGGTATTTACCTCTCATTACTAGTTTCTCTGCTTTTTATTTCCATATCTTTGATTTGGTTTATATCCTCAAAAATCGCCAAAGAATTGCTAAGATTGATCTTATAACACTAAATATGTTCATCTAGAGATAACTGGGCCACAGTTRGAACTTTCTTGTCATTATTCCTGTGTTAGACGCCTAACAAGTGAAAGAACCAACTGCCATCTTGAGAATTTACCAGAGTGGAGCCTGCATTCTGAATCAGTGGCCAAAGCTGGCTTTAGCAAGCTGGCTTTTTTTAGACTATGGGCCTAAAAAGATCTGAGGAATACCT